GAGCAGAAAGTGCTTGTTGCTACGGAATTGGACAAAGGATTGCTAACTTTTATAAATGACTGGTGAGACAGGTTTGTCCATGTAAATGTAGTAGTTGTCTCACGTTTCCACTCTACTCATTAACCCACAATAACAATAACCTTCAAACCTCACATTATGTACAAATAATCATTCTGTTGAATTTTGTTACAATGCACATGGATATTTATAACACTTTAAACACCGAAAGTCCCATTTCGTTACAGCGACATACATGTGCTGCTCAAAAGCACACTGATTATCAACATCCACTGTCAGTGAGTCAACACGAGTCATCTTTAGTTTTTGTTATGGAGGGGTTTGTGCCAACAGTGCTCCTCCACCTGTATCGTGTTCCCCTCATTCGTCCAATTAAGTTGACATTTGGGGAAACAAGATGAAGAAGTATTGAGTGCATAGAGAGCAGACAGTCAGGCCTGGAGATAAAGACAGGATGATGATGAACTTGAAAAGACTGAGAAAGATGATGGGTGTAATTATACAAAGAGGAAACTTCTAGAACCTGTTTTTCTTCTGGACTTTATATATAGAGTATATAGAGTATATGTGTGGTACAAGTAATAAAAAAACCAAGGTTTGAAAAAAACCCATCCTGTTGAGCAATTCAAGATGAAAATATTGGTTTCCAAAGGAGGGGGCACGGAGCAATTGGAATGGGGGTGAGTCAAATTAATAATTAAATAAAGTAAAATGGAGTTTTGAAGCAATAGCTGTAATCTGTATCAGGGGAAGTTGATAATAGTCTTATGTAGAATAGGGGGCGCTAGAAACTGTTTGGAACCCCTGGATTAACATGATGTAACGTGACTGACTGTGTTTATTTTTCAGTGCTCCATTCATCCTGTGAATAAAAATACTGTTTGGACGTCATCAGAGGAATTGTGGAGAAATTACTTTGTTGTTTTTGTTGTTAACGACTTAATAAAAATGCCTGAGAACATGTCGACTCTTTACTGACCCCCAAACATTTGTCAAGCAGTAATATGATTAGTTATTATTATTATTATTATTATTATTAATCATATGTCAGGAGGCTTTCTTGTGGTACTGATTTCCTTATCTAACCATTATCAAGAAAAACACACACTTAAAACAAAAAACTATTTACAACCAATTCACGATACATTTTAACAACATTTCAACAGTGTTACATAGAAAACCTGGCCGCTAATGAAAAAAAAAGAAATAAATAGTAAATAAATACCACACATCATATGATCAAAACATCCACCTTCAAGACATGCGTTTGTCGTGTGATGGCATCGTAGGAAGCAGGCAGGACCCAAATGCAGTACTGGTGAGACTCTTTCTGGTGCAGCAAGTTTTATTTACAAAGTCCAAATGAACAAAACACGAAGAACTAACAGGCATGGAATTCACTTTGGAACACGAGGAAACACGGAACACGAGGAAACACAGAGTAGGAAACTCACGAACACGAAGATCTAACACAATGATCCAAAAACACACAATCACAATCACAATGATCCAACCCCGACGGAGTGAGGGAGAGGGGTATATATACACAGTGAACACCAGGTGAAACAAGTGAAGCTAATTAACAACAGGTGAGTGTGAGCCCATGATTACCCCACAAAGAACACAGGAAAACACGGAAACAGACAGACATGACAGTACCCCCCTCCTAATGGTTGTCCCCCGGACGTCCAAAAGCCTACCACCAACCCTCTGGGTTGGTTGGGTGGGAGGGATACCAAAACAGAAACTGAAACAAGGCCTATTCTAAAACATGAAGAAAAAAAAAACTAGGCACAAGGTGAAAAACAGAAGAGGAAGAAAACAAAAAAT